CGAGCAGAGCCCCTATGGGCCACAGGCCCTATAGGGGATGGTGCAGGGGAATGCACCTGCGGAGCTTGACACCTATAGAGCCCAACACCTATAGGGCCCAACGCCTATAGGACCCAACGCCTACAGACCCTAATACCTACAGGGCCCAACACCTACAGATCCCAACACCTATAGGGCCCAACACCCACAGACCCTAATACCTACAGGGCCCAACACCTACAGGGCCCAACGCCTACAGGACCCAACGCCTACAGACCCTAATACCTACAGGGCCCAACACCTATAGGGCCCAACACCTACAGGGCCCAACACCTATAGAGCCCAGCACCTATAGGGCCCAATGCCTACAGGGCCCAACACCTACAGACCCCAACACCTATCGGGCCCAGCACCTATGGGGCCCAACACCTGTAGAGCCCAGCACCTATAGGGCCCAACACCTACAGGGCCCAACACCTATAGAGTCCAACACCTACAGACCCCTACACCTATAGAGCCCAACACCTATGGAGCAAGAGCCCCTGCTGCAGAGGGCTGGCCCCTATGGAGCCCAGCTCCTATACAGTCCAACCTCAGGCACTGCAGAGCAAGACCGATGGTCCCAGTGATGCAGCCCCCTGGGGACCAGCCCCTATAGAGCAGGAAACCCCGTCTCACACAGCAGAGTGCAGTCCCTATAGGGAGCTGCAATTAGCAAGCAAGAGAATATGCCTGACAGCGCAGTCCCTATAGAGGGGGAATGCCTACCCTGCGGAGAACCCCCTATAGAGCCTGTCCCTAGAGACCAAGAGCCCCCAGCACACCGAACAGCTCCCAGGGCAAGCAGAGGGCGGCCCTGCAGGCGGGGGGGTCTATAGGGTCCATATGGTCCTAATCCCACCCTGCTGAGCCCCTTCCCAGGGAGCAGGGGAGGACTGTACCGCACAGAGCCCTGCAGCGGGGCGCAGGGGTGACCGCAATGAACCCCCCCCCCCACTTCTCCATGTCCTTGCTGGCCACCTCCCCACTTGCCCCACGCCCTTGAACCTCTCGGCGTCCCCTCTCCCGCAGCACGGGGCAGACGGGGGTGCGGTACCCGGGGTTTGGGTTTTTGCTCCACCGGTGTCCGTTCCCCTTTGCCATGGGCTGGGTTTTCTCAATGAGGGGTGGCCCGGCCCCCAGCGTAGCGGCGGCGTGCGGCTTTCATAATGTATTTTGGTCAGTGCTTACAAGAAGAGGCCGCGGGGAGGGCTGCGGCAGAGGGGGGATTCCAGTAAATGGCCTCCGAGCCTTCCTCATTCTCAAGAATAGGAAACTGCACGACTTCTCCACAGGGTTTCACTTTCTGCGCGGGGAGGCGAGAGGCCAAACTGCTCCGCTTGACCATCGTCGTGACGCAGCCCAGGGACCAAAAAAAAGCACGGGAAGAGGAAAATTCATCAGTGAAATCCATCAGCGCGTTTGCTGCAGGTCTTGGGTGCAA